AGAGAAGGGGATTTTTTTTGCTGAGAAATGCTTTTTTTCATGAAAATGTGGCATCTTCATTGTCATGGCAGTACGAAAATGCTACATGTGACATGTCATTAGAGTCTAAGTAGAACAAAAGAAGTGCCCAAAACAAGTTTGTAGACCAGAATTCTCAGCATCATTTTTTTTTTCCTCTCTGGTCCAGGTGCACAGAAGATGGGTGTCCTCACAAGAAGTTTTTTCACACCCGTTTTCTTATGAGAATGAGGCTGACACCAGACTGTTCCAAGATGCTGATCTCTACTTCCTCTGGATATCTTCTGATTTTGCATGATCTTGATTTGAATAAATCTTTAGAGGTTGGCAGCTACCCAATTTTAAGAGCTAGGAGAACTACATCCAGTTCAGGTGAGTGCTCCTGTGAGACTGTCACAGCCTTCTGCCTTAGAAATGGTTCGTGTGATACTCCTGGCTAGCAAAAGAAGCTAGAGGTGGAGCCAGACTCTGAAGGGGAGCTCTAGGGGATCTGTTCAAAGGTTTCATACATCCATACTGCTGCATGACTATGTCCTGTGTCAGTGAGTAGAAAGTGTCCAGGGTGATTCTTGATACCGAGACTTTGCTAATACAGACTAGCACAGGCTAGTCTGTCAGCTCAGGCTGGTGATGTCTGCTTTTACCTGTCTAGCCCTGTAGTAAAAGAAAAGTGAGTTTGGTGTGTGAGCTCTCCGACAAATGCTAATGGCTCCTGTGTGGTGCTGCAACTATTCCCAGTGGCAGCCCTGGTAGAATATGTGCTCTGAAGTCTTGATTCTTGTTTCATTCTGCCGTGTAGCAGAACAGCAAAACAGAGGCAGTTGTCAGAAACTGCCATTTTGGGTGCCTAAATATGAAAGGAGTGGTCCGGGGAAGAGTTTATGCTTGTGGTGTATTTGGGTGAGGCAAAAACATAATGGTACTTCAGGTTGCAACTTGAGGTATCTGCAATTTTTTGAGAACTCTTTTCTTTGGAAGGTGCCATTCCTAAAGAATGATAAGTGAGGGGTAAATACAGTTAAAAAGGCAATTCTTATTGTTGAATTTGTGTGGCTGATGCTCTTTGCAGATACAACATCTACGAGTTCATCGGGTTCTCGAGCTGCGAGTTCACCGTGTCAGCAGAACGATTCAGGTCTGTTGTTTGAGAAACACATGTCACGGCCATCACAGCGAGAAGGTGAGTGCAGATAGAGAAATTGTGGAAAACTGCATTTTTTCCTTTGATTTTTTAGAAATGCTGCAGTTTTTGGAGGGAAAAAAAAAAACAGTATATAGCACTGCCACAGTAAAGGCTGGAGATCTAATTTGTGTTTTTCCCAAGAAATCTGAAAATAGGCAAAAAGATATTTAATTTTTATTAATACATTAACTTTGTTATGCAGATGTACTGTCTTTTTTATTATTTTTTCTTCAGCAAACTTTACATACATCATCTTTAAAAAGTATTTTAAAAGAGCAGAATGTAGCCCTTGTAAACAAATAGCAGACCATTTACCATACAGACAGATGTACGTTCTGTTGTCAGTAGCATGGAAAAAGAGGTGTATTGTTAGGCTCTTAGACTTGGCTGGATTATTTTTGAAGTTATGATTTAGAAATCAAATCCTAGCTAAATACAAATTATAAAACACCATGAAACTATGTTTAGCAGGCTGGGTCTGGTCTTGAATACCCCTTCAGAGAGTCAGCATGAACTTGGGCAAAGAGGCAAGTATTTGTGTAATTCCGTTTGCCACCTTAAAATAAGGATAGTGTTAAGCTCTAACTACTTCCAGTTGTAAGATAATCATCACTGAAGAAGAAGGAGGATTATCTGGACCCAGGACACAATTTATCTGCAAAACACTCTTTGCGGGTTAGTGTAGAAAGGAAGCAAACGGCAAACAGCTGAGTAGATTTACAAGAGTTTGGAAAGGACATCATGCATGTTAGATAGCTAGTAACTCCTTACAAGAACTCTTCAAACTTTTCTTTATTAACAACAAAGTTAAAACAAAGTTTACATGTGGATACTTATCCCTGACCTAGTTCATGATATGAGATGAATCCAACTTTGGCCGCTGCAGATGATTTTAAAAAAAGGATGTTTGGAATCAAGACTGAGCTCTTAGTATTAACTTCATTCGTCACAATAACCTTTTGTTTGTTGGTGTGTTTTATACTTTCATAAAGGTAATGTATCCGACTGCTAGAAAAGTCTGTAAACTTCACATGCTCAAGTAGTCAGACTGAATAAACAGGTGAAAATAAATCTGTAGAGTGCATTACACTTAAAGTTGACTTCCATTCCCAGGTGGATCACCTAGAAATAGTCTAGAGGTTTTAACACCAGAAGTTCCTGGAGAAAGAGACCGTGGGAACTGCATTACATCGCTTCAGCTCCATCCAAAAGGGTGGGCCACGCTTCTGCGGTGTTCAAGTAATACAGATGACCAGGAGGTAAAATAAATACATTTTTTAAAGATTTTAAATATGTAAGAGTACCTATTTTAAATAACTACTTTTTGATCATACAACTGTGTAAAAATTCCTTCTTTTGGGGTAAATATGAGTCTAAATAAATGAGTTAATGTACTTATGTACTTAAAAAGCTTTGTTACTCTACTATTCTTTTTTTTATGGATTCCTTGAAAGGCTTTGCATTTTTATTCCCTAAAAGAGCTAGGCATAACTTATGTTTTTATATGTATAAAAGTCTGAAAGAACTTTCAGGAAGAACAGCTGTTCTTCCAGCTGTGTGATTTTAAAAAGGAAAAAAAAAAAAAATAGTACCTGCCAATGGAAGGATGGTTCTTGGAAAAAGCAGACTTACAGAGTTGGGTATTGCTTGTCGTGGCTTAAGTTGAGGAGACCGTCTCCTCTGAAGTCTTTTCAAGAGAATGTATTTTTTGTCCATCAGTGTCTCGAGGATAAATACACTTTATATGGCCACGAAAATCTTATACTATATTTTTTGCATCTTCTGATAACACTGTATATTCCTGCAGATCTGGTATAGATGACTGAGTAGAAATTTAGCAGATTCATTATCCATTTTAGTATTTCCTCTATCAACTTAGCAGTCTTTTTTTTTTTTAATGCATATATTAGACCGGGTTAATCCTAACAAATAAGCTAGTTAAAATTTTCTACAGTTCCAGTGTCTACCATAATCTCTTCTATGAACACTCACACAAGGTGTGTGTTCTCATTGTGTTTACTATGCTAGAGTACACTGAACCGTACTAGGAACATTTCTTCTGTCAGTTAGATGGAAATCTTCAGCACTGTCTGTACCTTTTGCAGTAATACAAACTTGGTTTGGAATAATGGATTTGCATTTGCCTTGAAATTAAATTATTACATTCTGCGTTAAAATCCCAGGTTGTCTCCCATGTTGTAAACTGCCTGTAGATCTGTTTGTAGCATTACTTCAAAATCTGTATTGGTCCTTTGGAAGGTGTTTTTTCTATTATACCAGAGAGCAACTGTAAGTTATTTAAGTGTTTAACTAAACTCCTGTCAAAAGGATTAGGCTCTAATATTTCCAGTTAAAAATAGATTTGAAGATTACATCTAACAGGCATACTAATAGTTCAATTAAGCTGTTTTGCATAGAGAGTTCAAAGAGGAAAAGGAGCATGAGTCTATTTTCAGCAGTTCATAGTAAATACTTATCACAGAGTGGCAACTGTGGCTGTTTCTCTGTAATTTACTCCAGCATGTCGTAGTCAGTATTTGGACAGTATCTCAACGTTCTCTGCCCTGCCTCTGTTTTTCAGTGGACCTGTGTCTATGAATTCCAGGAAGGAGCCCCCGTGCGTCCTGTCTCTCCTCGTTGTTCTCTGCGATTAACTCACTGCATTGAAGAAGCCAATGTGGGCCGGGGATACATCAAAGAACTCTGTTTCAGCCCTGATGGTCGGATGATTTCATCCCCACACGGCTACGGGATCCGCCTGCTGGGATTCGACGCGCAGTGCAGTGAACTCGTTGACTGTTTGCCCAAAGAAGCTAGTCCCTTACAGGAGATCCGTTCCCTCTACTCGCACAATGATGTGGTACTGACAACAAAGTTTTCTCCAACGCACTGTCAGATTGCCTCGGGGTGCCTTAGTGGACGTGTTTCTTTGTACCAGCCAAAGTTCTAGGGACATCCATTCATCAACAGGAACTCCAGTTGTTTGTGTTAATTACTTCAGTTTAGTTGAAGTGTGTTCTTGAAATCGTATAAATTCAGATAAGATCATAGTTACTATGGTCGGTGAACATAGCAGTGAAGCACGTTCTGTCACGGTGTGCGTTCTGATGTACTGCATCCAGAAGCAAGGCTATGTGCGTTTTGTTCTCAGCCTTCCCTGCAGACCTCTGCTCCCGCTGATCCTGCACCACTGCGTTGTCCTTCTGGCTGCTTTGTGTAGCAATACTTGTTGGTCTTTCATTTAAATGTGACTTAAAGTGGACTCTCCGAGAGAGATGCAGGTGCAGCGTGAGTAGTAGTTCAGCCAAAAGTACCCAGGTCTCGCTGGCACAATGTCCCTTTGCTCCAGGGGAAATGGACTTCCTCGCATAGACTGGCCTTTTCTCTTGCAGAAGCTACTATACAACAATGATTAGGTAATGGAGCCGGTTTTGTCCATGCCAGATTGGTTACTGCCACAAAAAGAAAAAACATTTTCATTTATATATACAAATTTGGTTATTTGTGATTGGCTAGAAAGATTAGTAAACTTACTGTGATGTTTTGCTGTAGTTAAAGTCTGTTAGGCTGCTTTTCCCTAATTGTATATATTGTCTTTATTGCCAGAGAGAAAAGCGTCTGGATGGAGATACAGCTGCATTTTTCTCAAGAGAATTTAGTAGAAGACTGGGGCAGGGAATTGAGAGCTTAATGGGCAAAAATATTGCCACATAATCACTGTATATGGAATGTTTTTTTGTAAATTGATAGGTTAGCTGGCCTCTGAGCAAACTGTATTGCTTAGCTACTGGGGTACTTCTGTTGTGGGAAGCTTTCTGCATTGATGATATAAATCTTGATAACATATTTGACACTTACCGTTCTACAGTTTTTTGGTTTTTTTTCAGCTGATACTAAAGCCATATTCCAACTGAGGAATGTTCTTCTGCAACCGGCGTATACCATTGTTAGAGGAGTTCGTCTACCTGTCTCAAATAAGCATTTTTTTCCAAGTGTGTTCTATGGAATAGATTAAAAGTATTCTCTGCCTAAAGTAAGGCCTATCTGAATTTAACGGGACTTATCACAAGATGTGAAAAATATTGATGTTTAGCATTAATGCACATATTAAGTACAAATGTCAAGCTTTAATTCTTGAGTTATTACAGCTAACCTTGTAAATGTAACTGCAGTTTCTTACATCCTTATCGGTTTATATTATTCACACCATTACATGTTCTAAGGTAACGGAGTATTTCACTAAGATTTTACTGACAAAACATAAACATAATTCTACAGGAAGCTTTACCTAAAAAGGACTGTCATATTTTGGTGTTTAGGTTAAGTACCTACAGCTTGACAGAACATACTTGTTGAAGGCTGACAATAACATCCTTTTTGCCAAAAATCTTTGATGCTTGGGGAAAAAATGAGACATCAGTGAAGATGAAATAGCTGGGAACACGTAAAGCTGACCATAAAGCTGACAATCCTCCAATGTGAGTTTGAGTTTTTGTAGGTATTCTTCTTTGTGCGGGAAAAAAAACTTAAGCTTGCCATTTCTGCTGGTGAATTTCTTTAGCATTAAGCCTTTAATATTGGTATTTGAACACTGAGCTAGTTAATTACTTTTCCTTGGGTTTTCATCTTCAATTGAGAAGTAAAAGACTTAGATAAAAGACATCTTATTCTTGGATAAGTGTCCACAATTTTATAGTCTCATAATGTGTTTTTTAACAGAATTATTCTATGTTTGTGTCTCAGCAGAATGTCTTCCCACCTAAGGGAGGTGGAATTTTTAAGTAGATTTCCTGAGTTAACTTAAGGCAGAGGTACATTAATGATCTTTCCAGCAACTCGGATCTGTGTTCCATCAAATGCCTTTTGAGCAGCTCTCTTCTTGCTGAAACTATTGCCTAGAACTCAAAATTACACTAATGGAAAATCATGAACTAAGGGACATCCTCTGTTTTTAAAAAAGGACACGATGGCTCTTGAGTTCAGACCCTTAAACACATAAGTGCTTTCAGAAGACTGCAAGAAGTTATTCATAAAAATGTTCCTCTCTCCAAGCAAATTGGCGAAGTCGTGAAAGATGGAGGTCTAGTAACTGCAAAAATACGGCTTGTGTAGCAGCAATGTGGAAAGATGTCAGCCTACGCAGACCCACAAGTAATGTGTAACTTCAGTTGGCATGTAAGGTGTGCAAGGTGTGCACAACAGCCTGTGCGACCAAATGTAGATCACAGGCAGCTTGGGTTTGTTGCTTTCGTAGAAAGACTTGAGAGCAGCTTCTGTTTTTTAACATGAAGCACAGAAAGTGAAATGTGCACGTAAGGGTGACGTTGCTGGAAAACAATTTTCTTATACAAAGAAGAAACCTAACTACAATGTGTTTTTTGTTTGCCAGGCTATTTACAAATTAAAAGTAAAAACAAAAACACTGTGTCCAGAAAAAATGCTGGTTACTGGATTCTTGAAATTAATCCAGTGGAAGTATTAGATTTACTGTGATCAACCCAGGAGAAGTAGATATGATTTTAAATTACTTGAGATCTTCTATTGGATATTTCTCTGCTGTGGCCTGTTAGTGTTAAATTCAGATTTTTGTTAACTGGACTTACCACAAGATGTGATATCACAAGATGTGTGTCCTCCAGACTCTTTATTTTGTCAATCACGAGGACTGCTTGTTACTTTAAGCTATGCCTGTTAATACATACCGAGTTCTACTTTTTTAATTCTACCTATTAACATGCTGTTTTTTACAAGGTTATTGTTCTGACATACTGGACACTACACTGTATAAAGAACTGTTGCTATAAAGTGGTACATGTCCTATTTTATGTAAATATTACATACCGTATAGAGCATCAAGAGTGATATCTTAGCCAACTTTGGTCACAGCCCTGAAAAATGAAGACTGCTGAGAAGTGCAAGACCGATGGCAGAAGCTGACCTACTTGAGGGTCTTGATGATGTGTTGATGCTTTTGTAGCATGCGCAGAATGGAAAGGAGTAGGCGCACTTTGTGTTAAGACAGTTTCAATGCATGTGAACTGTGGGAATATCGTAACTCTTCTGATGAAGGTTACAATAAGTTTGAGCTAGCATGAGTAGACAGTCTTAAGCTGTGAGTGATTGCTTCTCTTCTGCACCAATACTTGGGAGTCTTCAGTGACAGCAAGTATAAAGTTCACCCAACAGAATCTATGAAGTTCACGCAACGGTTACCTTGAAGTTGCATTCAGTAATCTGTAACAGATCTGCCTTGCAGTTGCATCTTGGTTGATGGAATGATTTTCATCTTTTGTCTTTCTAAGTCATATTATCTTGCCTTACTGAATTAAAGTAGTAATTTGTAGGTGAGCTTTGGATTATTTTGAAATCAAAAAATATATATGTGTAATTTTCCATCTTTTAGATTGGAAAAATAAATTCTTAACTATCAATCCTTAAGCTTCAAAGGGGCAGAACTATTAAAAGAAGCAGCAAAGCAACTGTCATGTATAAGAAAATGTTTCAAACAATAGCTTGAATTTGAAACTTTGCATTAATAGCAAAAGGCAGTAGTGGTTTATACTAGTTTCTCTATACAGTGGTCTGTTTTAGACCACTCCAGTATTACATCACTTGCTAAATTTTACAGAATTTATGCTGAAGGTGGAACTCTTAGTTTGACTGTAATCTGCTCTATAAATCTCTATAAGTACAATAATTCTTCCATTCTCATCATGTCTGGTCAGCAGACGCGGATAAGCTGCCCAGCACATTCTCTGCAGCCGCACTAGTGTGCTTGGAGGCGGTTAGCCTTTGCTAACAGTCTGGGAGCCTTTCGTTGCTGGAATCAAATGTGTTTCTGAATATTCCACTAGAGCTCAGACTTCAGATCACTGCATCCCTGTTAGTGCTTGGGAGAAAGAAAAAACTTAACTGGATTACAAAACGGCATTTCTTTGTGTGTGTTTTCTCTGTGTTAGGTATGTTTGCGTAGAAGCTGGTGCTAGGGGAAGAGCATCATGACTGAGATAGCCCCTTGTTCCGGGGTTTGCCTTGAAAAGGATGCTCTTCTTTATTGCCCAGTGCCACAGCTGGAACGCAGACCCTGCTGGTAAGGCGATCCTAGGCCATGTTGTGAACAGGAGCCCTGATAGCAAAATACACTTGCCAAGTGAAAGTTAAGAAAAGTCTGATCTGCAAAATGAATAGATTAGCATGGAGTGAAAAAGTTGACAGTATCCATAAGATACCTGTTCTGGAGCAGAGAAGAGGGGAAAAAAAAACACACTTTTCATGTCCTTATACCAGTTCATGGGGCATTTTTAAAGATCACTAAGTATCCTCAATCAGGCCTAAGGGTGTTTTTATATATACATATATGTGTGTGTGTGTATATATATATATATATATATATATGCAAAACCAGTTTGTGCATTTAGAATACTTTAAAATACCTAAGTTTTCATAGTAGAATCTTTAGCTTTTTACTGTGACTTTAAAGTATCAGAACTGTTCAAAATATATTGTGCTTACAGCCATAGAGTAGTTTGTAGTTTGCAGACAGTTCCTCTTGCTTGCATGATAAATTAGATATGTAATAACCAAGTGAGTTTAAAATGTTTTCTAGTTGCACTGAGCTCTCCTCTATAGCGCTGCCTTTTGCCCACTCCCTATAAAGGGTAAAAAGGAGCAGCGCTCACAAGAAAACAACTGGTGCCTTTGCAGTGTGTGATTCCCCCATCAGTCTGACTCGCCGAGCCCAGGAAGCAGGTAATACATTGGGGGTAGTGTGGAAATAACCAGGTGAGGCTGCACTTGATCACACTGTTCACTGAGATCTTAGCTGCCGTTTACGGAGTTCCTTTTGTGGCCATGTTGAACCCTTTAAACTCTTGAATGCCGCACAGCAGAGGCATTGATGGTCTTAGAAATTGTGCTGAGGGAGTTTTGCAGTTGCGAGCGAGCAGATGTCAGCTGAGATGGAACAATGAAAAACTGGGAAAGGAAATTATCCTTGGCAGAGCAGGTAGATAGGCGTGCATGAGGTATAGTGGCTTCTTTGGTGTAAAAAATGCTGCCTCACACACTTGTCCTCTCCTAAAGATGTAATTATATAACGTGTGTGTGTGTGTTCTGAAGCTGTCTCTATGCCGGATGCTGCTCTCTCTCCCAAGCTGTGCTTTGGCAGACCTCAAAATTGTTACATGGAATACAAATTAAATTGTGGGCCTTCTGCTTGCCAAAACAGGTAACAAGAACACAATTCAACAGGAACAATATCAATTTTTGCTTTGTTTTAAAGGCAATTCTTCCCTGTCTCTGAGTGGAAGGGAGGCACTGCAGGTATTCTGGGTAACTACCCTCTTCTTGTATTCTGAGTAGAAAGATGCCTTTTCTTGCAAATGTGACATCCCATTTGCTCTCCACAGAATTACACTTCCACTTGCAAAGTGTGGAACTCTGCTAGAGCCATTTGCTGCTAGATACAGTGAGAACGGCACCTGGAAGAGTTAATTCTGCCTCTCCAACATCACCTGAAGGGTGGACTGATGTCAGGGTGTCCAGCTGGGCCTGTAATGTGCTAGTACCACCGCGCTCTTCAGATATGTGACAGAGGCCCCCGCGTTCTTCAGATACGAGACTCTGCTCGCAGTAAAGGAGGCCCCAGCGCAGGCAGGAGCAGTCGTGGTCCTGAGCTCAACACAAGCTTAAGTGAGACAGTGCAGGAAGCCAAAGCAATTCTGCTAAGCTGCAGAGAAACGAGCACCCTGTTTACCTGTGTGGTTTTTTTTTAACTCGCTTACTACTGCCTTTATAGGAGCAGTAACGTGTTTGAACTGGTGCTGCAAGCCTCGAGGCCCTGCAGGAAAGTACCAGTTGTATTTCTTCTTCCATTGTGTTCCCTTGAAATTCCACTCTAGCTCTTAATCTGACCTCTGTGCGTGGAATAGCCTTGTTCTTGAGGCCAGCTTCGGAAGCAGACTGTGCTAAACACTCTGTACTCAGTTAAAATAAGGCCTGGTGCCAGCGTATTTTGTACTGACTCTGGAAAGGTACTTCTCAGTCTCTAAAGCACATGTAGCTTTCCTGGCCCTTTATTAAACACATCACAGTAAGTGAGGGGAAAGGTTTTTGTCTCATCATTACATGAATAATTACTTTATTCTCCCTAAAGGAAGAGGAGAAAAAGAAAGCATATTACAATGAGTAAATGCTGCATGTTTATTTCATGCAGATACTAGTGAAGCTTCTTGCATTTTCCAGGCATTCTCTCATTAAGAGTGCTGAAAGCTACCATGATCTCCTTTATATTAGTTGCTGTTTTTCTATAAAAAAGATTCAACATTGTCTCAGTGTGAACAACTGAGCACTGACAACTTGGAAAGCGGTTGCAGTTGCTCAGGCTTGACTGGCTTAAAAAAGGTAGATCTTCAGAATGGAAATCAGCCTCAAAGGGGACAGCAGTGTTGTGTCGTGTTACACTTAACCACTCAAAGTCGTTAGTATCCAAATTCTAAGCATTTTTCATAATCCCTTTAGTGTTTCTGTTTTCTGTCCTCTTGCATGTTAAAAATCTCTAATGTAAGCTATTCCTTTATGACATGACTGAATTTTACAACACAAAGAAATATTAAGCATGAGGAGCATAGATAAGGCCTGCACTTACTATAGGAAAAAGGGTAAGGTGGGTGACAAAGGAGGGGCAACCTCTGTTAAACCCTTATGTGTAACTCCTCAGATTTCTGTAATTTAGAGAAGCACATTCCAAAAGACAGACGGGATTCACTTTTTTTTTATTCCATCAAGGAGTGATTACAAAAAAAAAAAAAAAAAACACACTATACACTAGTAAAAATCAGAATCTGCAAATAAACATTCAACAGATATTTAAATGCATATAATCACAACATTGAGATAGATAAAAAAATGATCATTTGTGCCTGGCTGTGTTGAAGGTGAAGCTAGGTGCTACCTATTACGATTACATCCATAAGGTACTCCTTAGAATCAATCTCTAGGAAGAGGTACAGCAAAGGCATAATAAATGTAATAGCCCCTCAAGTTTAGGAAAAGATCACAGTCTGAAAGCTTTCCTGTTCACCCACAAAAGCGAATATTCCATCACATGTGGGGAATTCTTCTCTTCTTCCCCCAGAGAATCAAATAGCTTTTATTAATTAGGACAAACATCTCACAGCTGGTTACACTTGCTGTCCTGTCCCCCCTCTAATGCTGTGTCACCTCCCTTAGCCCCCAAGTCTGCAATACAGTACTCAAGTGTTTTCCAGCACTCAAGGCTACAGAAGTCCTTAAGGCGCCTCCAAATTCTGCATTTCTCTTGCCCTGCTGCATCTAGTGCCCTCTTTGTCTGTCTCCTGGTATCATCTCTGTTACAGTTACAAACCTCTGCTTAAATGCACCGTCCTGTCCTACAGATTGTTCTGAATATGCATAAAGTGGACAGAACTGCCACAATTACACCAAGGCCCAAAGGAAACAGAAATAATATGCAAAATAGGCAGGATATCTGTAGAAAAGAGCTTTGTGAACTACTTTTACGACAAGGGGAAGCTGAACTATTTATTGTATTAACACTAAAGAAAGAGCAGTCATCTTTTCAGCACCATAGCTGTTTGCAACAGAAATAATGCAAGGCAGAAAAGGAAAAAAAAAAAAAAAAAAAAAACCCAAGTACTCTGACATTCACAAGTTCACAGGAAGATTATTAAACAGGAAAGGACACTTTAAAGCTTTAAGTAAAATTCCTGTTTCATTCTTTCCCCATTTCCCTTTTCACATCAAGGCACACACATTCACATACATAATCCCACTTTGAACTGGGGTCAGCTCACACTGAAATTAAACATCTAATAACTGCTTTTACACTGCTGAATTGAACAGTTCATGTCAAAGCCAAGCAGCAAAATACCGCGCAGAGCAGATTGTATAGACTTACTTAATTTTGAGGTTCAAGAAGTAAAACATCCCCATAAGAACTTGTCCATGTAGTTTTAAACTGTAATACAAGTGCTTTGAACTCCCAAGCATTTGAAAATGTATTTCTTGTATCAAGATAGCTTTCATCAGGACCTCCTTGACTTTCATATTTTACAATGCACACCATGAAGCATTTCCAGTCACAGGGAGTGTTAAAACTGGGAGTGATACGGAATAAACAGTTGGACTGATATATAAGTTTTTCGTTGTTCTAAATCCTGCATTTGTCTAGGAATTCCCCTGCAGTCAAATTGAACTGCTAGAACATAAAATACTTCAGTTTTTTTTTCTAAACGCATCTGAGTTTAGATGCACCCCTGTTTACCTCATGAGTATTAAAGGCCAAGATTAAGTTAAGTGCACACAAAGTGGGCACTCAACTCCTTACTGTAATATTTGCTGCCTTGAATTATGTTTCATGATACTCAATGTTACTCATAGAAAGTTTCACAACAGATCTGTTCTCCAGGGTTCAGTGACATCACGTGTGCCAATACCCAAGTGAACAGAAAGCCTGCAAATGTAGATTCTTTTTTTGTTTTGTTTTGTTTTTATAACAGCTTTAGCAGGAATTCATAAGTTGCATTGATTATGCCCCAAGACAGGACTGAGCGGTGGTAATTCAGATGGGCTCCTCTGAAAAGATGGATCAGTTTTCTGTCACGTTCTAGCCAGATCTTTACAAAGACTTTTGAGAAAGACTGAAATTCTCCACCAATCTGAGACTGCATACGGGCTTTTACAACATTCATTGGAAAAAACAAGAATCCCAGCACGGCACCCAACAACCCTCCGCAGATGAAGTCATTCACCAAGTGAGCGCTGTAAGAGGTTGCTTCAGGCAGACACTGTTTGATGGGTCCACGTAGGCCAAAGAAGAGCGCGTTACTGGGTCCATTTCGGAGCAGAATAGGTACCAAACCCCGATAATATTCCCTCATGCCATAGTTTTTCAGCATCTTGAAAGCCTGGTAAGTGTTTGTAAATTTATCATGGTATTTGTAGTCCTGGAGCAAAGTTTGTACTCTCTCAAAAGGGGTAAGGAGAGCTTCGGTGGTCCCTGCGAGCACCGCTGCTACGCTACGCGTGAAGAGCTCGGGAGCGCTCGTGTGGCTGTGCAGCAACGAAGAGAAATCCTCGTACAGCCCAAACATGAGAGCCAGAGTCGTCGTCTTCTGCATTAAGGGAGGAAGGATGCCACGGTAGAGATTTCGAATCCCATCTTTCTGTAGCTGATGTACTGCATCCTTTGTTTTCAAGCCATACAGCTGCTGCCGAAAAAGGACCTTCTGGATGGGAAAAGTGACTGCTATGTTTGTGAAGGCAGCACAATAGCCACAAAGATAATGTTTACCAGATGTAGCCTTTATGTGATGACTTATATCTTGCTTTGAATTCACTGGGGCACAGCCTTTTGAATCCATCATCTTGTTTTTCTTACTGTATTATAACTCAGTTCTCTTCTCCTACATAAAGAAAAGAAAGAACATGGAAAAAATGCAGTTTTTTTCCCTCCGCTAGATCATTTGTGCAATACCCAGTATTATACACGAGCCATGAGTCCCTAAAATTTGAAGGAGAAAAGTGTCATGCCACATCTGACAGTCACAGGTACACGCAGAATACACCTATTTGTCTCTGTATGTTTGGTTAATAAAAAACAAATGGGGAAGCAAGTTCAGATAAGAACCTCTTCCATTCTGTCTGGAAATTTCAAGATAAATAAGAATTTTACACATTAGATTTCCCATCAAATATTTCAACAATTTTTATTATTTTTATCACAGATTTAAATTGACATGACAACGAAGTTCCTAGGAAAATGGAGTTACTGTGTCTGCAACTCAACCTCCAGATCCAGTTAAATGACCTGCAGGAGAGGACAGCATCTCGAAGCCGCACTTGCCCCAAACTGGCCACCGAATGCCATCTGAGGAGGCATTCCGCTCATTCCCAGACTCTGAAGGACACGGTGAACTATTCCTAAAGCAGAGAAAACCCTGGAGTAGCCATGAACAGGAAGCCCACAATCTGCATTTCAAACTGGGGTAGTTATTCAGCAATTTCTGGGCCTGTAGCTGACCAGAATCCTCATTTCCATTGCATCACAGCCTAGTAAGAAGTTGGAAACAATCAATTAGTAGTTAAGTAGATTCTGATGGTGCAGTAAAAGATATTTTCAAAATATTTTTTAAAAGATGTTTTTGGCTATATCTCCTGCTTGGCAAGAGAAATTCTTTCTCCACATGCAGTTGCTGCAGACTGTGCTATGAACAATGCACAGCAAAGGCTAAACAGTTGTGTTACCTGAGGCAACCTGATTAGTTATTTTCAGCAGGCATACTCCTTCTTTTTAAAAGAAAATATAGTTTTATTTAATTCAGAGAATGACAGAATAGTTTAGGTTGGATAGGACCTCCAGAGATCCCCTTGCTCGAGGCTCAGCTACAGCAGGTTGCTCAGGACCACATCCAGATGACTTCTGATATCTCCATGGACAGAGACCCCGCAACTTCCCCATGAAAAGATATTCCCTCGCAGTAAACTGTTTTCTTGTGTTCAAGCAAAATTTCTTGTGTTTCAACCCCTCTCACATTGCTGCTGGTCACCACGGGGAAGACTCTGGTCCAGTTCTCTGCACATCCTCCTGTCAGATATGTACAAACAGCAGTGAAATCCCCTCCCTGCCCACACCTTCTCCTGTTCGGGTTGGACAGGCCCAGCTCTCCCAGCCTCTCCTCCTATGACAGATGCTCCAGCCTTTTAATCATCCTCACAGCTCTTCACCATGCTCGCTCCAGCACATCCATGCATCCGGTACTGGGAAGCCCCATGGGGTTTCCAACAGGACGCAGCACTCCGGGGTGGCCATAAGGGCTGAGCAGGAGGGAATTACTAACTCTCTTGCTTCACAACTTGCTGGCAACACTGCCTGAGGGAGCCCAGGTTACTACACTGCTGTCTTCTTGGCCACAGGGCCGGCGCTGCCTTGCGTCCAACTTATCCACCACCTCCTCTGCCAGGCTGCTTTCCAAGATAAATGCCCGCAATTATGACCTGCATGCTGTCGTGCCACACTGGCTGATTCCTCCCGAGGAGCTGGATTTTACACATCCCCTTGTTGAACTTTATGAGGTTTCTCTTGGCCCTCATCTCCAGCCTCCTGAAGCACCTCTTGGCAGGAAGATACCCATCCAGGGCACCAGCCACTCTTCCCAGTTTTGTGTGACTACGGGCTTGCTGAGGATGCACCGGGTCTCTTCATGCAGATCATTAAGGTGAGGGTAACAAGCCTATAGTTTCTGGTTTCTTTTTTCTTTTTTCCCTCCTCGCTCTTCAAGACACTTCTGCTCTCTTTGTCATCAGAAATATTCCAAAATCAATTCCAAAATAACCTTTTAAAGATAATCACGCGTGGTTTTGCAATGACATCAGCCAGTTTCCTTGGCCGCTGTTTGTACATCCCACCAAGGCCGGCGAGCTTGTGTCCGTTCAATCTGTTTATGCATTCCCTATCACGGTCCCGTTTCACCAAGGGCAAGCTGTCATTGCTCCAGACCTTCCTTGTGGTGCTACGAGGGCCTTGGCATTGCTGAAAGCTGGTCTGATCAGCAAAGACTGGGGAGAAGGCGGCACTGGGCACCTCTGCCTCTTCGGCGTCCTTTGCCACCAGGGCTCCAGCCTTACTCAGCAACGGGCCCACGTTCTCCCTCACCTTCCCAGAGCTACTTGTGCACTAGAAGGGGGAGATGCACTCACTTTGCTACAGCAGTAGTGAACAATATCATCAGAAACAAAAGAAAAGGACTCAAAAGATAACTGAGTAGTCGTTGTTATGCTGGTGACAGCTGCCTGCATCCCAGACATTTTTTCCTCAAGACACACTCATAATAAAATAGGACGCCTTGTTCAACTTCACAAGCTACATGTTCCCCTTGGTGGAACAGCTCCATTTGCCAATCAAAAAGCATCTAAAACTGCACACACACCCCCTATTAATCCAGATATTAGGTCTCACGCCTAGGATTTGGAAGCATGCAAGAGACAGGTACAGCAAGGCTTTCCAGAGATGCTTTCCAGAGCAGAGCCTTTGCTGTCCCAACTACAGCGACTACAGGTGCTTTCTGGCTAAAATGTATTACAAAAACACTGCTCTCAAAAAGAACAAAATCCTGGGTCAATCGCAATACCAATATATACAAACCTCTGGAGCTCTGACAAGGTAGGATTTCTTCAAAGGAATTATCCTCCCCTCAGGGACAAGTTTCACAGGACCCTAAGAGGGGAGATACAAATGATTCTTTTCCATAGTGTGTTCCCTTATGCAAAGACCATACTTTGAGGTGCTGACAACTTGTATCAGCCTGTGGGATAAAGCATTTATACCACCTCCTCAGAAGGATCTGAGGCAATTTACTGGCCTAAATGACCATGCTTTTCAAAACTCTGGCAAAACCTGCTAGATCAGAAACACACTGGAGAGAAAAAGCAAAAGAATCACACAGAATCCCAAACGGCTGAGGTTGGAAGGGACCTCTAGAAATCACCTAGTCCAACCCCCTGCTGCAGCAGGGACACCCAGAGCACAGGGTGGCATCCAGGCGGGTTTGGAAAGAGTAATTTGGTACCCAGTATTCTGCTGTACCTGTAACAGCAGCAAGAGATCACAACGCTGGCTACCTGACTGCAAACTGCTTAACGCTGAGGGGTTAACGTGCTGCCTAAAGCATCCTCAGGGCCCAGCTGTACTTTATCTCGGGAACTGGGCATTCGCCCAGAGGCAGCACCTCGCTGCTTTCATCACCCAGCGTGAGGAACGCTGCACCTACATATTTAGGGTTGACTCCTTCTCTGACGCCAAAGACGGTCAAGGGTTGCGGTTTGTTTCACCACATCTCCAGGTTTCACTACCTGCCGCTGCGCCGCCGTCGCACCAGCTGGAGGCTCCCCGGCAACGTCCCTCAGGCCCGAACCGCCCCGAAACACGGCGGGAGCCCGGGCTGCCCTCGCGGCGCCCTCCCCGCGACGCCGGCGCTAACGCGCCCCACGG